GGCAGATAAGTGAAAATGTGACATATGATTGCATTGATATCTATAAGCAACCAGGACTTGATCATCCCTTGCTCAAAACCCACAAAGTCCAGGTGCAGGGTTTTAGATACTCGTCTCCTACATTTCTTCTTTTATTAAATCTGCTTTTGAATCAAATAAATATTGACTACATACATTCTCTTTTTTGAGAAAAGATGAAACCATCACTTGCAAGACCTGAATCGAAGAATCAATCTGGCAACAACACAACATATAAAAAGGTAATAGGATGTCCTGATGGAACTGTTCCCATATTGAGAAACATAAAAAAATTCATCGTAAACTCACAACATTTTGTCGATAAATATTTACATCCGCTATCAGGCGATAGTCCTGGAACTCATGTAAGCACTCATCTCAATTCTCCTAGATTCTGTTAGATATAATAATGAGTATATAAGTCACTAATATAATTGCCTTTTGGTAGATTGCTGGAGTAAGGACACGTAATGGTCCATTTCATGGTGTAGAAGCTTGGTTTAGTGGATATAACCTAGACATCGGGAAAGATCAAGCCTCATATAGTCAAATTTATATAGGAAGTGGATCGAACAACCAAGTCAATTTTATTTCAGCGGGATTTATGGTAAGTTTTACATTTTATTGGTTTTCTCGTCAATTCGTTCACTGATTCAATCCCATGTATAGTTTTACAGTATTGAAATATTTTTACAGATAAATCCAGGATTTTTTCCCGATGGACGTATTTGGTCATATGGATTTTGGAAGGTGTGCTTCCGAACGATTTTATATTTTTGGTTTTCATAAATTGTATATGGAATATATATATATATTCTGAAATCCTTAAATTATCTTTGGTTTTCATAAATTGTCTATGGAATATATATGCTGAAATCCTAAAATTAAATAACATGTACATATATTAAATATGATTTTTATAGGGTAAAGATGGAAAAGGATGTTACAATACGGCGTGTTCAGGATTTGTTCAAGTATCGAAAGAGATTCCAATAGTTCAACCAATTGATAACCTTAAACCAGGGGAATCAACCTGGTGGCGTGTCTCCATCCATGAGTTATCTTCTAAATTATATATATCATTAGTAGAAAAAAAATTATAAATCTTGAAATAATCGCTTATAGATTCAGATTAGTG